ATGCCAAGACTATTTCAATAGCTTACTCGTTGGATCCCCAGATTTGCCTGCCTTCTTTTCAGTTCATCTTCTACACAGTTACCTATTTTACCCTCCAAAAACCCAAGTCTTTGGGTTTACCCTCCAAAAACCCTGTTATTCCCCTGCTCAAGAACCTCTAGGATAAAATACAAATTTCTCAGTTTGACATTTCTGTAAACTCTTTCAAGGCTGGGATTATTCATCATTTATCTTTGTATTCCCATCACCTAATGGTACCTTGCAAGTAGTAGCACTTAATTAGTGTTTTTGTTAAAAAAAATTTTTGTGGTCTGGGTCCCCCATACCTTTTCAGACTTGCTTCCTATTATTTCTCTTTAAATACCCTAGGTTCCAACAAAACCTACTGACCTACTTGCTGTTCCCAGAATTTGGTCTTCTATCTTCTATCTCTGCCTATATAAACAGTTTGTTCCACAGTCTGTTGCCTATGTCTGGAATATACTCCATCCTCACCTCCCATCTTTTAGCTATCTTTTTTTTAAAACTTTTTTAGGCATTTGGGATTAAGTGACTTGCCCAGGGTCACACAGCTAGTAAGTGTCAAGTGTTTGGTCTGAGGTCGGACTTGAACTCAGGTCCGGTGCTTTATCCACTGCGCCACCTAGCTGCCCCCACCTCCCATCTTTTAGAATCCTCAGCTTCATTCAAGGATAAGTTCAGGAGCTACCAAAAGATTTCCTGATTCCCCTATTACTAGTCATCTCTCCCTCCTCAAATTGTTTTTTATTTACTTCCCTTTACTCCTCTCTTTACTTGTATTCCTTTCTAAAAGGTAAGCAGGGACTTTTTAGAAGTCTTTTTTTCTTTGTATCCCTAGCATCTAGCACAATGTGCTGTGTGTTGAATGAATTAAATTGGTCAAATCACAGTTCCCAAGCATTCTATCCCACCAACTGAAGGATAAGTGATGGACTCATGATGCAGAGTAATTGAAACCTGATCAGTGTGGGAATTTGTTTTTGTTTGACTATGCATCATTATTACCAGGGCTTTCCTTTTCTTTTTTCAATTGTGGAGTAGGTGAGGAAATGGGGATGGGGTAGCAAAAAAGAGAAGAAAAGAAAGAGAGTAATTAAGGCAACTTTTGAAAAAAATTCACAGAAGATAACAAAAAGTTGCAGAAAAATAGGATGACTATGAAAGTTATATACTTTACATACATGATAAAGTTATCATTATTTGAAAAAGAAGTGTAAGTTGTACATAATACAGGAAAAGTGAATTAAACTGATCATCTAGCCTCTGACTGAGGACCTCTCTTGAAGGGCAACCCATTACTTCCCCAAGGCATCCCATTCTGCTTTTGGATATCAATAATTATTAGGAAGTTTTCCCTTATTTCAAGTCAAAGTTTATGTTTCTATCAAGCAGAATGACTTGAGTCCCTCTTCCATATGACATGCCTTCAAATACTTGCTCAGATATCAGCTCTGTCCTTCTCACTCTCCTTCTTCTGTCCCCTCACCCCCACTCCCAAGCCTTTTCTTCTCTAAACAACCTGTACTTTGTTTGGTGTATTCTTTTATTACATCTCACCATCTTTTGGACTCGCTCCAGTTTGTCAACAATCTTCCTAAAATGTGCCTTCCAGAACCAAACACAAGATTCTACATGTTGCTAAGTAGGGTAAAGTATAGTGTCTTATCCCTCTATTAGACTAGTGGTCTCCCATCATTTTTGATCATACACTCCACCCCATCAGTGAAAAAAACTTAAGTATGCATCCTCAATATATGTATAGTACATATTTATAATACATACATGCAAATTAATGTTTGTATGTAAAGTAAAATCTAGTTATTCATAAATTATATACATATAAATTAATATTTATGGTATAAACTAATGTTGCTGATGATTGTTTTAAAATATAAAAAGGATAAGATAAAGATTCAATAATATTTTGTAAAGTTAATAAGCAACCACTATAGTTTATTGAGTAGGGGAATAATATAGTCAGACTTTCAATTTAGGAAAATCACTTGGACTGCTGTGTGAAAGATGGATTTGAATAGGGAGAAACTTGAGGTAAAAAGACCAAATAGGAGCTTATGAGAATAGAATAGGCAGGAGGAGATGACCTAGGGTGGTCAGTATTTGTGTGAGTAGAGAGAAACAGACACAGAAAGATATTGTGAAGGTAGAAACAAGACTTGCTGACATAATGAATATGTGAAGTGAGTGGGAGAAAAGAGGGTGATGCCAAATCTATGAGCCTGGATGACTGGGCAATTAGCAGGGTCCTCTACAATAATAGAAAGTTTGGAAGAGGGGAGGGTTTACAGGGGAAATAAAATGAGTTTTGTTTCACACTGGTTGAATTCAAGATGTCAATAAGACATCCAGTTTGAAAGGTCCACAAGGCAGTTGGTAATGTAGGCAGTTAGATGGCTTAATGCATAGAGCACTGGGTCAAGAATCAGGAAGACCTAAGTTCAAATCTGGCACTGACTCCAAGAAGCTGTAGCATGCACGGTGGCCATACCTCAATAAATCGTTTCTGCAGACAGGCTAAACCAGGTTCAGAGATTTTGGTGAGTTAGGGGGATATCTACCCAAACATGTGAAGACTTTCCCTGGTGGAATGAGTGGATAAGAACAACTGTTCCAGTGGCCATGAAGGTGGCTGAAGCAGGTATTGTGGATCTTGGTCAGCCATCAAAGACACCAAGGTCATCCACTTCATCCTTGGTCATTGCCTGTTGCCTTGACTTTTGTCTTGCCATTGGACTTCAATGACTCTGGAAGAGAGAGTGAAGCTGATGACTTTGTGCAACTCTGCCTCACTTAAATCCAATTCACGGGAAAGTCAAGACATCATCCTGTGATGTCATCAGTCCTCTTCGAAAATGAAAGACCAACTACAGCTGGGCAAGTCACTTAATCTCCAGGCTGTCTGAGGCCACTGGAGCAAGAAATGGCAAGCCACTCTAATATCTTTGTAAAGAGAAGCCCATGGACGTACTGTCATATGGTCCACAGGGCCATGAAGATTCAGAATGGACTGGATGACTGAACAGCAGCAATGTAAGACTGGAGCTATAGATAGTTAATAATAAATGAGATAGCTATAATATTATGATGTACGTAGTTAGAATGTTAGAGCTAAATGGCACCTCCTTAAGGAGCCTTTATTTATTTATTAGGCAATTGGGGTTAAGTGACTCACCCAGGGTCACACAGCTAGAACGTATCAAGTGTTTGGTCTGAGGCCAGATCTGAACTCAGGTCCTCCTGACTTCAGGACTGTTGCTCTATCCACTGCACCACCTAGCTGCCCCCCCCCTTTATTTTTCACATGAAGAACCTGTGCCCCACAGAGCTTCAGTAATCTGCCCAAGGACACACATGGTAAATAGTAACACTAGCACTTGAACATAGGTCCTTTGATCATAAATTCCATGGGAGAAATGATTTATTATATTGTGTAGGGAGTGTATGTGGGGAATTATTCCATACCCGGAATGCTGCTTGACCTCAGTAATTCTCTAGGAATGTCAGAGATGTCCATAAGGTATTTCCAATTCCTCCAGGCCATGGATCACCACAAAGCATTCTTGTTTTGGGTTATCACACCCAGGAACTCCTGAGGGGTCCACCCCAAGCTTCTGTTTTGGGTTACAATTACTAATATCTATCACAATTTACCTTGCTTTCTGGCTGCTCTCTTAACAAAATTTCTTAACTGCATATGTGGGGTGCATGGGGTTCCTGTGTGAGAAACCTTTGTCAAAATCCTGTATGATATAAATCTTCCAGAGTCTAAGGAGAGAGAGCTACTTCTTTGCTGGCATGCTCTTCTCAACTAAACAACATAATAAATTTCTTTCTAAAATTATTTCAAATTTTGGGGTCTGTTCTCATGAACATCTTCCTGAGTTCAAACTCTGGCCTCAGACACTGTCTGTGTGACCCTGGGCAAGTCACTTAACCCTGTTTGCCTCAGTTTCCTCATCTGTAAAATGAACTGGAGAAGGAAATGGCAAACCATTCCAATATCTCTGCCAAGAAAACCCCAAATGGAGTCACGAAGAGTTGTTCATAACTGAAACAGCTGAATACACTTGTAAATCTTGACGATACTTGTTCTGACAGCCCTGTGAGGTAGGTAGTTCAGGTATTACCATTCCCATGTTAAAAATGAGGAAACTGAGACTCAAGTTAAATTACTTGCCCACAGTCACACAATCAGTAACCAGGAGACTGTATTTTCCTTCTGAACCCCTAAAATCATATCCCTAGACTAAACATAAGAAAAGAAGCATGTAGACATAATTCTAGCCCAATACTCCTCTTGGAGACTGGAAGAAAGATCCTACAGCCTTGGTGGTCCTGAATCAAATCCAATTCACTTGCAAGTCATTGCATCATTTCCTGATATCATGTTCCTTTTTGAGATCGAAGTCTAATTAGAGGACCTGGGAGTGGCTCTGTCACGTCTTGATAATATTAAACCTGCTCCTCTCACTCTCCCCACTTCCTTCACATCTCTCCAACCCCCAGGTAGGCATTGTGATTATCCTTCTCTATGATGAGTGGGACTCATCTCCTGTCGTCTTGATCTATATCTTGTCACTGCACCCAGATGGCTCTGGAGGAGAAAGTGAGGCTGGTGACCTTGATAGCCATCCCTCACTCAAATCCAATTCACTTGCAAGTTGTGGCATCATTTCCTGATATCATGGTCCTCTTTGAGATCGAAGGACAAACAACAGCAACTATGATGAGTAGGCCAGATCTCAGATCATATCTTTCCGAGTCGTCCTTGAAACACACACACACACACACACACACACACACACACACACACACACACACACACACACACACACTGTCTACACACAATAAGAAGTAATGTGTTTAAACTTCTGCGGGAGGGATATAGATTATGTACACTGGATTGAGACTGAACCTTCTTCCAGGAGGCACCTCTCATGGAGCTGGACATGTGCTCTCACCCTGTACTGAAGGATATGTTCTTTGACAAAGGGACCAGAATGGATGCCCCAGTCCAGCACTGCAATAGCAACAGCAACGTCCCAAATTTTTACATCTTTTTTCTTTTTTTCCTGGAAAGCTTTCATACGCCTATCTAGGGGGTGGGGCAGCTTTAAATCATCCCAATCAAAAACTAACTGTGAAAAGAGTTAGTGTACCTTCACTTCAGAGTTAAGAATTAGCCAGAAACCTTGCTAAGAACCCAAATGCCTTGAATATTCTTTGTATTTGATTGTTTTGCTTCATTTAGACAAATTTTGTGATGCTAGAGAAGACTAACAAGGAAGCATCAATTATATGCATTGATTTACATTTTTTAAAAGAGAAGAGATACCAGACCCCTCTATTAGGTGCCATAGCATGTGTTGGCAGTGTAATATAACTATAGCTAAATTTATATACCATGGATTTCTGAAAAGTTGGCTATAAATGGAATTTTTGTTAACTATAATTTAAATGCAGGAGGGAAGTTTGTTATTGAGGAGTCTTACTATGAATCCTTTTGTAAAGTGAATGATCCAGATTAGAACATGTATAGTAGGTTTGTGTAAAGCAAGTTATGCTTGTTAAAGCTTACATTTGTGTAGCACCTTACAATTCACAAAGCTCTTTCCTGAAAACAACCCTTTGACAGGAGGCATTATAATCTACATTTTACAGATAAAGAAACTGAGGCTCAGGAAGGTTAAATGTCTCGTTCATAATTACACACCTAGTAAATGTCAGAGTTTAAACTTAAAACCATGTCTCCTGAGTCAGCTACTCATTATACTATGGCCCTCGAGTTCACTACAATCTTATCACTCCCCAATTTTATATCATTTAAGGGGTTTGTTTCACCAGAAAATATGTCTCATATTAGAAACAGAGATGAGGAAACATTCCATTTCTGGATATGATGGATTATTTCATCTCTTCTTTTTATGCTCTCGTTTTCTTCCATGAAATACATTCCTGATATTATTTGCCAAGAGCTTATTTTGAGGGGGAGGGTCCCACTTTGGTAGTTAACCTTGAAACTTTCAGTTCCCTACCTTAAGAATGGAAATAATAATACTAACTAAATTTATGGGGTGCCCATTTTGATATAACTTTTCCAAATAAGCCAACTGTACAAACCCAAAGGAAGAAAACTGTTGAACAAGAAAGTTATTAATAAAATGATTATCACTCAAGATAATACAATTTGACTTGGACATGTTAGCATGTTTTCTGTGGCTTAAAAGTAACATTAACCACTTTTTCATTTTTAAAACATATAGAACCCTGAGACTAAGGGAAAACAATTAGCCTCAAAGTATAGAAGGATATGGAAGACTTTCTGGAGATATTTCTATATGTAGCTTTCTTGACAAATTTTTAGCTAATGCTGGTATACCAATAATTACACGTAAGCCAGGATTATTATTACAGTCAGTATGTATCTCTCCTTCAGATTGCTATCAAATACCCTAGGCTGTTCTGGTACTTTATTTGACTATCTCCTCCTTGCCCTATGGCAGGAATACATGAAGAAAATGAATTTGAATTTATTGTCAAATCACTGCCAGGAAGGAGTGATGGACACTTCAGCACCATACAGTATAACAATTTACTCTGGGCCAGGCCAAAGTTAGCAGGCCTCTGCTTTTAGTGCTCCATCATCATCAGGGGTCCTGGAGGAAGTCTAATTAGAGGACCTGGGAGTGGTTCTGTCATGTCTTGATGATATTAAAAGAAGGAACAGGAAAGAGAAGAGGAATATATTGGGGAGGGGTGGAGAGAAAGGATGAGGAAAAGTATCTCACATAATCACAAGTAGAAGTCTGTACAAACAAGAAGGGGTGAGGAGAATGGAAAAAACTTGAACCTCACTAGCTGTGTGATTCTTGGCAAATCATTTACCCATGATTGCCTCAAAAAAGAAAAGAAAGTACAAACAGGTCTGCTCTCCCCCACCCCTACAAAATGAGAGCACAATTTTCCCCCTACCACTTAGGTCCTTGGGGAGAACAGTCGAAAACTTACAGCAGCTATTGCAAAGCATTCACTTACCAAGTTCACTTCTGATTGCAGCATAGCCAATAGATCGGAAGAGAGATCTCAATTGCCAGATCTATCCACTTCTGTGCTGGTTCAAGCAGGTCATGCCTTGAGCTGCTTCCTTATACTTGCTGCAGGACCTCTGGTAGTTTTCCCACCCTATTGAGATCTCACAAGATCCTGTACCAAAGGAAAGAGGTGGCCCCATTCCTGATACAGTCTTGTCTAGGAGAGGCTCACTGAGCTCAGAGGGGTGTTATTACTCTTTGTGGTCAACAGGAAGAAAAGAGAGAAATTTGGCGTCTTGGTAACTCTTACATGCACATGCAGTTCTGGCTCTGCTGCCAGTTAAAATTCATTTACTATCATATAGTAAGCCAAAAGGAAACAGTCATAAAATATCTCCACATGCTCTGAGGTGGAGCGTAGGGGACTCCATTTCATTTTTCTGGAAGCAGGCTCTTCAAGTCACCACTGGAGTTACCATCAAGCAGAACATTCTCTAAAGGCAGGATTCCCAAGGGCTGGTTCCCCATTATAGAGAAAATGAAGACCTTTTAAAAAAATCCTGGAGATTTCCAGCCTCCATTTAAACTAATGGTAGGAGAGAGCCAGATGGTTATAGAGCCCCAGCTGCTATCACTTTCCTGGTTTATAGTCCCACTCTCCTATTCTTCATTCAATGACACTGGCCTCCTTGCTGTTCCCTGAACGAGACACTCTACCTCCAAATTCCAGGCATTTTCATTGGCTGCCCCACGTGCCTGGAATACTTTCCCTCCTCACATTCACTTTTTGGCTTCCCTTTCTTCTTCAAGTCCCAGCTAAAATTCAACCTTTTAAAGGATGCCTTTCTTAATTCCAGGGCCTTCCCTCTGATGATTATCTCCAACTTGTTCTCTATATAACTTGTTTGTATATAGTTGCTTGCATATTGTCTTCCTTTTCCAGCTCTTTGCAAGCATGGACTGTTTTTTACATTTCTTTGCATCCCCAGTACATAGCCTAGGGTTTGGCTACTTACATAGTAGAAGCTCAATAAATACTTGTTCCTTCCCCTTACCTCCTCCTTCTAACTGGATACTGTAACTTGAGCCACGAATGGAGTTGATGAGAAGAATCATGCCATACAAATAAATGGGGGATCATTTTATTGGCAAAGAGTTGAAGAATCAGGGAAGAGAAGAAAAGCTAGAACTCTGATTTCAAAGGAAAATCTGAATTTCTAAAAGCCAATTTCTAAAAAAAAAAAAGTACACAATAAAATCCATTACTTTGTGTTCCAAATAAAGAACCAAGTTCCTTGGAGGATAGGGGGAAAGGAAACTTCAGCAAAAAATGAAACAAACATTTAAAAGTTCTATAGATGTTTAAAATAGAGAATGCCTCCTGCTATGGGAAGTAACAAGATTTAAGAGGCAGTGAATAGCTGGGAAAGAACATTATCATGAGAGTTGGAGGGGGGAGAGGGAGCATATGAATCTAAAGCAAAAAGATAAATAAGATGTTTATTAGTCATTTATGTATTGTCAAATGGTATAGAAAGTTCCCCAACTTCTACTCCTTTTGTCTTAGTAATTTGTAGTCCCATTGACCCTGAATTTTTACTTCCAGATCTTTCTTAAGCCCTGATACATTTTTCACTCCATCTAAGTGTGTCAGGTTTCAGTTTCATCATGGGTTAACAACTACCTCATCTTACTGAAACAAAATGGCAGAAGAAGAATAAGAGGAACAGGGTGGAAAAGCAGATATAATATTAACTTTGGCAAACAGCTAGGGAACCTGCAGCTATTAAAAAAAAATTCCACCTGATCACTTAGATGTCTACTAATCATTCAGGATATGTGCTATAACTAGCATCAAGCTTATTTATTGTTTCATTTGCTAAATTGTTTTTAAACACATATAACAGCAAAGGGAAACAGCATGGCATAGTGAATGGAAGGCCAGTCAGACTCAGGAACACTTGGGTTTAGGTCTTGTCTCTAACACATACTACTTATCAATGGGCAACTTTCTAAGACTCTAAGTTACCAATGAAATGTGCATCTGCATTGGTAGAAGGTGTATCTATGCTAAGAGCTTCCTAGCCTAATGAGTTCTCAAGGATCATAATTCACCAAATGCATCTATTGATTTGAAAGAGTTATTAGACTAATAGATGTGTGTAATTTACATCTCTGGAATCAATTTTCCTTCCATAAAAAGGATATGGCAAAGTGGTGGAGCAGATAAAGGGCTAGCCTTGGGATTGGGAAGACCTGGTCTTGACTTTGACTGGCTAGGTGACCCTTTGCAACTGAGGGTAAATCATTTAGTTTCCCAGAGTCCCATACAACTCTCTAAGAATGTAAATTGCAGTAGAATTGTCCATCTGTATCGGTGTTGGGAGTTTCTGCACTAAAAATCCCTGGTCTGGGAAAGAATAAAAATAAAAACATTTGAGGAGAATTTGAGGAAACATAAACAGGCCATAGACATCACTGGTTTGAGAAAAGTGAGTTGTCTCTGTTTGGTTGGAACAGCGAACAGAGTTCTAGTCCTTCATCTACCATGGGAGGATCTTTAGTGTTCCTTAGACAGCAAGAACTGCCATGTTATCCCCATCTCTATGGGCTGCAAGGTAATCAGAAGCAGCTGGACCTCCTTAAGAATCTCTAGCCTGTAAGGCATAATGAACCTAGTTCCAAGGATCCAGAAAGGGAGCTTGAGTGGCTGAAGTTCTTAACTTAAGTTATATTGTTTTATTTTACCAACAATTGTTTTAAATCAAAACCTAAATTAGGTTCTGGCTTGAGGCCCAGTTCTGAAAGAAATTTATGGAAAGAATGATATTTGTTCTTATTCTAGGACCATTTGAAGGACAGGGTCTGAATGAATCGGGATTTGGAATGCAGTCAGCTGGTTTAGATACACAATTAGTCCACCTTGAAGACTATGGATGATCCTTTATAACAAATCTCAGACCTATGAATTCATCTCTTAAAGATATCTCAGCATTTCTGGGGCTCACACTGAACATGTTTGTCTTTTGGTAGGGCAACTATTGCATTTCTTCATT